CTTTAATTATTTTTTTTCACTTTTTTGGGAGTTATAATGGTTTCTCTAGGGCTTAATGTATCATCTTAAATGATCATAATCTTTAGATTTATACCCACTTAATTTCAGTGAGATAACAAAAATCATCTGTGGTGATTCAGGACCTCTTGAGGGTATTTCTTCTTACATATATATCCCTTGAACTATTATGAATGTTTGCTTTGCTATTTTGATCTAGAGAGAATCGAGGGAATCAAGCTGGCTACCTATTTAACTGGGATAGATAGCGCCTCACCTTTTATACATAAACACTTCTGTTTGTAGAAAAACAAGGGATGATGACATATCATGCAAGATGACTGAAACACTAAGATGAACTATGAAATTGTGCCTGACCTCTATTTTGTTTGGGATCTGTCCACAATCTGGGGATTTATGCTTTCAGTTGGCTTCATTAATCCACTCAATGTACTTATCAGATGGTTCTTGCATACTGTGCTGGGTGCTTCTGGGATACATTAACAAAGCAGGATTTCAGCTTTCCCAGAGTTTTCAGGGACATATCAATCAAGGTCATTCCAATTTACACTCTTGCCTCATTGTCCTTAGCTTAGTCACAAAACTTTAACTCTGGTTGAGTCTAACTATGTTTTGCTACACCTAAGTGCCAATGAGGAAATTACGCAAACTTGGAACGGGATATTTATTGCTTGCTTGGTATCACTGAGGGAGATGTCAGTCTTTGAAGAATTAAGATGTTTATATTTTATTTTATTTTTATTTATTTTTTTAGAGAGAGAGAGAGAGAACGAGCATACGCAAGTGAGAGAGTATGAGTGGGAAGGGCAGAGAGAGAGGGAGAGAGAATCTCAAGCAGACTCATGCTGAGTGTTGAGCCCGATGTAGGGCTCAATCCCACAACCCTGAGATCAATGACCCCAGCAAAAACCAAAAGTCAGACAGATGGTCATCTGACTGAGCACCCAGGCGCCCTAAGATGTTTGTATTTTAAAATCTGCTTTGGTTCCTATTTAGTTTTCCTTTCTGGTTTCCTGTAGAACCCAGTGCCTTCTTGTGATAGGGCTCAGTCCCAGGGTCAGTCCCAGGTTCAGTCCCAGGCTTCATTTCCTTCCCTGCATCACAATTTAGGTGCATCTCTGAGTGGTAGGACAGTAGATAGCTTTTACCTGTGTCCTTTTCTACATTTGATTTTATTTCCTTCAATGAGTATACACAACACAATCACAACCAATACACAATGAGCTACACAACCAGAAAAAAACGTTAAAGCTATTTTATTCTGAAGCCAAAATAAAACTTGATTGCTTCTCGTTCAGTTCCTTTAGGTCTCAATTGGAGATAGATTATTCAGCTGCTATAGCAAGTGAAGCTATTCTTGCTCTATGTCCAGGATATATTTTCTTACCTTTTAATTTAGCTAACTCATTAACTTAGCCATTCAGTTTGCTAAGCTAGGTATCCTAGAGATATCCTTAACCCCCATAGCCAAACACTAACTCTGTCAATCGTCTTTTTAAATATCTCTCAAATATGCCCCCTTCTTCCCATCTCACTTGCTGCTGCATTTATCATCCCTCACCTATATTACTGTACTGACCTTCTAATTGAGCTCTTTTCATCCAGTTGCATTTCCCTTTAGTCGAATCTCCTAAATAATGACTCTTCCCTACAGAACATCCCTCACTGGCTCCCCAACTGTCTGTGCGAGTCTAAGTCAGATTGTCCCAGCGTGGCATACAAACTTCTTAAGCCCTGACATCAGCTTTATTTCCTGCCACTTGTCAGTAAATAGCCTACACTTCAAACTGCCTTCCTCTTTCCTAGATGGTTCTGGCTCCCTCTTGTCTTCTTGGCCTTTGACTTTTTCTTTTGGTTGGATTTCTCTCTTTCTTTGCCTGCCAACTAAACTCCTCCCCCTACTGGTTGGAAAGCTGCAGTCAGCCCTCCTCCATTCACCCTTCCCTCTCCTAGAGTGGCAGGCGGCGATAACCATTCCGACTGCTCCCACTGTATCCAGAAGGTAGCAACATCAACAATAATGGTAAATCTCAGCATAGAAAACAACTGTTAATATTTATTGAGTACTTCTATGTGTCAGGGTTTATGCTTGGAGCTTCCTAGGTAATTAACAACTCATTAAATCCTCATAATGACCCTGTTAGGGCAGGTCTTTTTATTACCTATTTTTATCATAACACTTGTCACATTGTCATTTGGGGTGGTGGTGGTGGGTACCTGGGTAGCTCAGTCACTTAAGCGTCTGCCTATTCGTGTCAGGATCCCCAGGTCCTGGGATGGAGCCCTGTGAAGGCTTCCTGCTCAGCAGGGAGTCTGTCTCTCCCTCTGCCCTTCTCTCTCACTCTCTCTCTCAAATGAATAAATAAAATCTTTGGATTTTGAGATACAAGTAGGGGGAGGGACAGGGCAGAGGAAGAGAGACAAAGAGACTCTATGTTGAGGGTGGAGTCTGATGTGGGGCTGGATCCCAGGACCCTGAGACCGTGACCTGAGGTGAAACCAAGAGCCAGTTGCTTTAACCAACTGAACCACCCAGGTGCCTCGGTACTTGTCCCATTGCCTTGAAATGGCTTAGTTATTATTTATCTTTATCTCCCTAATAGTTTATCTTATATCTCTAGCAACTAGAACAAGTTTTGTACACGTTATTTGGAATATGGTAAAATCAACATTCACACTTAACCAAGCTTTATTTTTATTTATTTTTTAAAGATTTTATTTATTTATTCATGAGTGACACACAGAGAGAGGTAGAGACACACGCAGAGGGAGAAGCAGGCTCCCGGCAGGTAGTCCGATGCGGGATTCGATCTAGAAATCTGGGATCATGCCCTGAGCAGAAGGCAGATACTCAACCGCTGAGCCACCCCGGGGTCTCATTAACCAAACTTTAATATCAAGGATTGAGGTGATGTGAGATTTTCAGGCTAGCACTGGAAGAGGACTGGAGTTTGGGCACAGGCTTTTAGGGTCCTTCCAATCAAATTAAATGGTCTTCTCCCTTGAACTAAATGGCATTGCCATCCTCCCACTTGCTTAAGAAAACAACCTGGCAGTCACCTTGTTTACTATATTTCTTTACACCTGCACCTCAGGAAAACACCTTGAAATTTTTCTACTTCTACTTCCATAGCAACTACCCTAATGCAGATCACTATCATCTATCTCATAGATTTGCCCAGTAACTTCCTATCATTCTCTGGCTTTTCCCTGTTCCATTTCTGCTCCATTCTGAGTCGTTCTGTACAAAATAGATTGATTTAAAAAAGCAAGATTGGGGGGTGCCTGGGTGGTTCAGTCAGTTGAATGTTGGATTCTTGGTTTTGGCTCAGGTCATAATCTCAAAGTTGTGAGATTGAGCCCCATGCATTGGGGTTCATGATCAAAGGGGAGTCTGCTTGAGATTCTCTCCCTTTTCCTCTGCTCCTCCCTTGCTTGTGCTCTCTCTCTCTCTAAAATAAACAAATCTTAAAAAACAAACAAACAAACAAACAAAAAAACCTCCAGAATGATGGGGCACCTGGTGGCTCAGTTGGATAAGTGTCAGACTCTTGATTTTGGCTCAGGCCATGATTTCAGGGTCATGAGACTGGGCCCCATGTTGGGTTCCTCACTGGGCATGGAGCCTGCTTAAGATTCTCTCTCTCTCCCTCTGCCCCCCCAAGCCTTGCACAAATGCTCTTTCTCTCTAAAAAAAAAAATAAATACATAAAAATTTTAAAAAAAGATAAAACTTAACAAAAAGTTCAAGCAGTGTGGTTACACTCCTACTTCACTCCAACCTTAGTCTCATACCATCTACAAATGTGCTTCAAGTCTCTTGGCCACTTGCTTGGCCCGTTCCTCAAATAAGCAAAATTACATCAGCATCAGCACCTTTGTACCCATTGTCCTGTCTAGAATGCTGTACTTCCCCACAGTTGGCATAGCTAGCTCCTTCACCTACTTTTTTCTTTTTAAAGATTTTGTTTTTATTATTTATTTGGGAGAGAGCGAGCTCTTCCTCTTTTCTTCTTCTTCTTCTTCTTTTTTTTTTTTTTTAGGTTTTATTTATTTATTCATGCGAGACACGTAGAGAGGCGCAGACATACAGGCAGAGGGAGAAGCAGGCTCCCTGCAAGGTGCCCGATGTGGGTGCCCGATGCAGATCCCGGGATCACGCCCTGAGCGGAAGGCAGATGCTCGACGGCTGAGCCACCCAGGCGTTCCAAGCCGATCCATTTGTTCAGGGCAGCGTGACAGGGTGCTAGGTGGCAGGAGGAGGGTCGCAGTCATTAGGCGGGCTCTGAGTGTGACCCTCCAGTCTCTGCTGCTCTCACCATTCCCTTTTCACTCGCCTTTACCCTAAATTCGCTTATTACATCTTTGCCTTCGCAAAATCTGATGAACTGTTGCATCTACGTCCTGAATCTCTGCACCATTATTTTTCCTTTGATTACGAAGCCTCCTTTTAAATTTCTCAATTGCCCCATCCTTTTGCTGTCTCCTTACCCAGTTCGCGTGCGCCGAGGGGCACAGGCAGGCACAGCTTACGAAGCATTAAAGCATCCCGAGACGCAGGCTGCTGCCTAGTGCCTCAGTTCTGTTCCTCAGCGGGTCCGTGCAAACTTCCGAGATCCAGGGCTCGGGGGGGGGGGGGGGGGGGCGGCTTCGGCGAGTCTCCGGGGGCGGCGCCACACACTCGCCCGGGCCCGGGGCTACCGCGCCGGGGGCCGCGTCGGACTTGCAGGAAGTTTCCGTCTCCTCCCGCGCGCTCACGGGATCGCGGGCGCACCACGGAGAGCGGGCTGCGGGGGCGAGCGGGTCGCGCCGCGCTCCGGGCGCCGGCGGCCAGGTGCGCTCTCGCCTCGCCGAGTCCCCGCGGGCCGGAAAGGGGCGGGGCGGCCGCGGGCGGTGGGCGGAGCCCGGCGGCGGCGCGGCCAATAAAGTCCCGAGCCGGCGCCGGCCGTGCGCGTGACGCTGCGTAGCGGGCTGCGAGGCCGGGGGCGGAGGGGCCGGCGAGCGCGGCGCTTTATCTTCGCCCGCGGCGGGGCCGGCTGCGTCGCTGGCCTTGGGCGCCCGGCGAGCCTCCCGCCGCCCAGCGTCCCTCCCGCCGGCCGCGCCGTGAGCGCTCCCCGGCTTTGCCCTCCCTGCCGAGGCCCCCGCCGTCGCGCTCCGGCCCCAGGTAATGCCCGTGCGCCCCGACCCCCTCCTCGCCGGCAGCCTGCGCCCTCCCGCCCCAGCCGGAGCGGAAGGGGAAAGAAGCGGAGGCTGCCCCTCCGGCCCGGCCGGCCCGGCCTTGCCCTGGGTCGGGGAGGCCCCGCGAGTCCCGGGCGGTGACGCGGAGGGGGAGGGCGGGAAAGTTAGCGTGGGGCGCCCTCGTGGCTGGCCGCCCTTTAAACCTCGGAGGTTTGGTCCGCGGCCCCCCAGATCCCGTGGCATCTCTCCAGCGGGTGCTTCCAGAAGTTCCGAATTACAAGACGTTTTCTTCTTTAAAAAGCGAAACCAAAGAATGCGCCCAGGCAATCGGGGATTGATTGAGGAACGACCAAGTGTGCGAAGGGGGCAGGTAGCTGGCGCCTGAAGACCTCGCTGTCCCCCTCTGGCTGGGCACCAGAGCCTCTCATCAAGCTCCTATTTCATCTTCAGATGCGATGGCTGGACTTTCCTGCCGCTGTTCCATATTCATAGCCACTCGGTTTCTCTGCTACGTGTATTTAGAAGTTGTTTGTAACCGAGAAACGACTTTAAACGCTCTTTTTTTTCGTGTTTCTGTCTAGATGAAGTTCGCCGGTCACTTTCTAAGTCGCTGCCACCGTTGAAACTACCCCCCCCCCCTTTTTTTTTCCCGGAATACCTGCCTTTGACACAGAATTCAGCTTGAAGCGGGTCCCTCCCTGCCTCCCTCCCCCCCTTTATGTGGGTGATATCCACGAATGACTTGTTAGGGAAGTTTGTGTGTTGTCTAGAGAAGGGAATGGCTTCGGGGAGGAGCTCTGATACATCCAAGAGTAATCATTTTAAAACGCACGTGTCTCAGTGCCTCACAGGTTTAGAAACCTCAGACATTTCACATTCTTGGAGAATAAAGAGCCACTCTCCTTCATTTCATTTTGGGCCACTTTCCTCCCGGGTCTCTAGGCTCAAACCACATTGGTTTTATTTTTTTGTTCTAAGAAAGGCTCTTTACTCACTCTCGTGGTCTTAAGGGATTTCCTCCACCTCTACTACACCATTCTCCCCTTTCCCCAAATCCAACACGTGCCTCAAATATCACTTACGGAAACCCAATGCATATCTCTGTTAAGCCCTCCTAGAACTCTATTTTCCCTAGCAGCCGTTTATCATCAGTTGTAATAAGTTTGTCACTTAGATGCTTTGTTTCTTTTGGCGTCTACATTTCATGAAGCTGGGCCAGTGCATCCTGCCTATAACTTGATTACCAGAGTCTGGCCTAGCACCTGGCACAGCAGAACACAGGAGCTGGAGAACAGAGGAAGGAACTTTTTTGAATGGAAAATGTTAACTAGGAAAGAGTGCCTGCCTGCTCCTTTTGGGAGGGAAATGGGAAAAGTTTTTAACAAAGGCCAGTTAACTTTTTTTTTTTAATCACATAGGATAAATGATGATTATATTGACCATATAAATGTGAATGAGAATTTGAATTCTTTAGCTAATTGACTTAATGACTTAATGATATATAAGTGTTGTGGGGTTGTTCCTCCCTCCCTCCCTCCCTCACTTTTCTTTTCTCTCTCTCTCCCTCTCTCTCTCTTTCTCTTTCTCTCCAAGTGGGCACCCCTCAGGGAGCCCCATGTGGGACTCGATCCTGGGACTCCAGGATCACGCCCTGAGCTGAAGGCAGATGCTCAACCACTGAGCCACTCAAGCATCCCTCTTCTTTTTTTTTTTTAAATGACCTTATGTATTTATTCATGAGAGACACAGACAGGCTGAGGGAGAAGCAGGAGCTCGACGACTCAAGATTGGATCCCCCTACCACTCTCTGAGCCAAAGGCAGACGGCTCAACCTCTGAGTTCACTTAAGCATCCCTATAGGGTTGTTCCTGAGTACATCTTTGCTTGGAAGGGAGCAGGGAGAAACTTTATCTTTTGAATTGTAAATTTATCTGCTGCTATTCTTTTCCTCCACTGAATGTGAGGGGGACTTAGCAAAGTTGGTTACTGAGAGTAAGTTGGTTACTTGTTTTATAGAGTTCTGTTTTTATTTTTATTTTTTAAGATTTTATTTATTTATGAGAGACCTAGAGAGAGAGGCAGGCTCCATGCAGGGAGCCTGACATGGGACTGGATCCTGGGTCTCCAGGATCAGGCCCTGGGCTGAAGGTGATGCTAAACCGCTGAGCCACTCGGGCTGCCCGAGTTATAGGTTCTTTTGAAAGCTTTTTAAATAGGAACACTGCAGGTAGGCTGAAGTTGACATTCTTCCAAACAGGGTTCATTTGTTTCTCAAGTCAATTTTTGTGTTGGTTTCTTTTTTTTTTTTTTTTTTTTTAATTTATTTACGATAGTCACACACACACAGAGAGAGAGAGAGAGGCAGAGACACAGGCAGAGGGAGAAGCAGGCTCCATACACCGGGAGCCCGATGTGGGATTCGATCCCGGGTCTCCAGGATCGCGCCCTGGGCCAAAGGCAGGCGCCAAACCGCTGCGCCACCCAGGGATCCCCTTTGTGTTGGTTTCTTAAGGCAAATTAGATACTATCACACTGAACATTACAAAACCAATGCACAGATTGGATTCTTAAGAAATAGTTGCCCAATCTGTATGTTGTACTTTATTTTTATTTATTTATTTATTTTTAAATTTTTATTTATGATAGTCACAGAGAGAGGCAGAGACACAGGCAGAGGGAGGAGCAGGCTCCATGCACCGGGAGCCCGACGTGGGATTCGATCCCCGGTCTCCAGGATCGCGCCCTGGGCCAAAGGCAGGCGCCAAACCGTTGTGCCACCCAGGGATCCCTGTATGTTGTACTTTAAAATAGCTCTCTGGTCTGCTTTTTGTCACCTGGAGTGTAAATATTTCCATTGCGACTTAGTGGCCATGTGACTTTGAACAGGCTTCATAGCGTTTCCAAATCTTTTGCCTCTTTTAAAATGCAAATATTAAATGAGATATGTGGTGCACCTGCCCTGCTGCCCAGCACCGTAAATGTTACTGGCTTAGTAAACATTAGTTCCTGGTTCCTTTGTTGGTGGACCTCTTGAGAGACTAGTCTTATGATCACTGTTTTTACTTACTCAACTCATTTTGCAACCCAATCCAATATATTTCTTTGTCCTCCTTCCTGAACAAATTGTACAAATTTTAGCTATTAATGTCCCCAAATTGTGAAATACCCTAGGTCCCTCCCTCCTTTTTTAATTTCCTTTTTTTTTTTTTTGGTCTTACTTGAATTTTCTATGATATTGATCAGATTACTTTTGAGCCTTTTTTTTTTAAATATAGATTTTTATTTCTTTATTAGAGAGTGAGAGCATGAGTAGGGGGGAGAAGGAGAAGCAGGCTCCTCACTAAGCAGGGGGTCTGACTGGACTCTTGACAGACTGAACCAACCAGGCACCCTTCTTGAATCTTTTAACTGGATTTCTAAATTGCTTGCTCCTGGTCCTCCTCTAATCTCTCCTAGGCCTTGTTTCCCCCCCCCCCCCCACTATTCTTTAAGTGCCTTGTAATATTGGGAAAATGACTTAACCTGTGAAACAGGAAAATAGTATCTCCTGCATAGGTAGTTGTGAGAATTGAATGAGCCATAGTAAGTACTAGGTAAATATTAGCTTTATTGTTTCCTATGGTCTCTCCCTGGGAGATTTCCTTCCTGTGTCTTGGTCTTAGCTGCTCCCACTCATGGATCCAGATCTTTGTCTCTAGTCCAGGCTTGTATGTTCACCTGTCTGCCTTTTCATCATTTGGCTGACCTGCAGGCATATCATACTGAACTTACCTACTCCTTTCTCTTCTGTAGTTTCTTAGCTTAATGGCACACCCGTGACCTTAGTCAGCTGAGTTAGGAAACTCTGGATCTCTATTTCTGGATGCCTTCTGGCTGTAGCCACCTGGATATCATATCATAGGTATCACCTTGATGCTTGTACAATTATCTTATCTCTGATTTCTTTGTGAGATCATTTGTTTATTTAATAATCAAATAATCACATGCAAGGTGCCTGGGTGGCTCATTTGGTTAAGTATCTGCTTTCTGCTCAGGTCATGAGCCTAGGGTCCCTGGAATAGGTCCCAAGTTGGGTTCCCTGCTCATTGGGGAGCCTGCTTTTTCATCTGCCTCTTCCCCACCCCGCTCGTGCTCTCTTTTGTGCTCTCTCTTTCTCAAATAAAATGTTTAAGAAAAAAAAATTGCATGCCATTTGAGGCTTATTTCTCACCTTTATCTTTTTTATGTGTTTGCTTATTGTTCTCTTTGACAGTCCCTCATCCTCTACATTGTCTTATTAAAAGACAAATATTAAGTCATTCTCTTGTTTTTTTTATGTATATATTTAAAGTTTTTTTTTTTAAAGGTTTTATTTATTCATGAGAGAGACAGAGGCAGACACACAGACAGAGGGAGAAGCAGGCTTCCCTCATAGAGCTTGATGTGGGACTCGATCCCAAGACCCCGGGATCATGCCCTGAGCCGAAGGCAGATGGTCAACCACTGAGCTGCCACCCAGGTGCCCCTGATTCCTACTTTTAAAGTTTTCTTTCTTTCCTGTCATCTAGAGTTATGCCTTTGGCAGTCACTGCCTTTTTCTGTTTGAAAATGCCAACAGGATTACCTACCTCATAGGGTTATTGTTAGGATTAAAGGAGGGAATGTACACAAATGTACACAAAGCTCTTATCAGAGAGTAGAGCAAATAGTTCCCAATAAAGGGAACTGGCTAACAATTCTTAATTTTTCTGATTATTTGGTGCTGTGTTAAAAAATAGAGCAGAAGGGAGAAAATGAAGACGGACTAGTTAGGTTACTACAGAGAGGGGACCACGGCTTAGACTCTGGTAAAGGTGGTGGGTGTGGTGAGAATACATCACAAGTGGGGATTTATTTTGAAGGCAGAGTAAAATGGACTTGCTGTTGGATGGGATAAGGGGAAGTAGAGAATTAAGGATGACTCCTAGGTTTTGTTTAAAATCTGGGCAGAGTGACTGCTAGTCCCAT